TCGCAGCCATTCAAGTATCAACAATCGAAGCACGAAGCTAAAAGTTTGTTTGGCTCTAGTCTAGTCTGTTGAGGATCTAATCTTGAGTCTTGAGTTTGAAACGCGTGTCGCAACCAGCTCGAAACTAGCCGTAATTTGTCTCAATTGCATAGATGTGGAGATCCCAGAGTAGCTCGGCTAGTTTCTAATTGAAAAATTAAATCATTTACTTCGGCCAGGTCATAATTAGATCCCAGAACCAGGTCTACCCAATTGAGCCTCAATTGAAGTGCAGCTAATTATGCTTGCTTCAGTCCCCCAGATCTACATATACGCATATACCTACCTATATCTGTCTATGATAGCTAGGAAATTGACCGCGAAACACGTGAAGCGCATTTTCTCATTATTATTACTTTTTTTCGTATATTTCTTCTACTTGTTTTTATTATGCTTAAGTACATTGGACTCGTATTTTCGTAGCTTTGTTGTTTTTCTTCTGCTGTTTTTTTGTTTTTTTGATTGGGTTTAAGGAACCTAAATTGATAGCCAGCCTACGGAAAATTCTGTACGCTGCTCAGATAGAAAGACACTGGCGACCTTGAAATTTAGCCGATAATTGAATTTCGTGGGGGGCTTCGAATGAACGACAATTTTTTAGGGGTATACCCGGGCGGCGAGACTTGTCAATCGAACCGGTAGAAAATGGGAATTACCTAGAGTAATATTTAGTAATAAAGCAGTTTCTAATTTTTTCTTTGGAAGTGCTAACTTTTGTTGGTAGCCTAGCTTTGATGGATTGATAGATTATGAATGGCTTGAGAGATACTTCTTATATTATCTTTATAGTTAGAAGAGCTAAGATCTAAGACCTTTAGACCTAGTTTGAACTGTAAAATACACATATCGGATGTCTGTAAAAGAAAGTATAAAGAAAGTTTTATGTACAGTTATTCCGAGCAGATAAATGCAAGATCTCAAGCTCAATCGGATGACTAGTATTTAGGAAAATTGCTCGAATCGATTCATCGTAAACTAGCGTACAAATCGAAACGCAGAGAAACATATGCCTTCTCCAGAATTCTAGGTCTATATATATATATATATATACATAATAACAGTTAACAGTCCCATTACTCTAAACTATAAATCTTAAAGCATATCTTAAAATGCACAAAAGATCGTTTCTATAAACTATCTCAAACCCAATTTGGAGCCTTAATCTGTTCCAAACAAAGTTTCTATACAACCATACGGATATTCATTTGAGGAGAATTTCACGTACCTTAGGCCGTTCCACTGCATACGCAGCTTGTAGATGTTAAAGTTCATATCTCTGAACGATCTCATCTCCAGATCGTCCAGTTGCGAATGGGTTATTTTCAGATCGATGTTGACATCGGAGTTCAGCTTATTGGCCAGACTGTCGACGACAGCGTTGAAGGACTCGAGTTTCTCGCAGGCGAGCTCGACGTGATTGAAGGCTTTGCCCATTTCGCACGTGCACGGCGATATCTCCGGACGGGCCGAGCATTGCAGTGCTGCAAAATGGAATACGGCGTACATCACAGAAGCCATATTGTTGTTGTTGATTTGTCGTTTGTGTTTGAGATTCTCAAATTTTTCCGATTTGGATTTTCGATTCACAGTTCACAGGATTTCTCTAGGCGTTTAGCGACTGAGCGAGCAGGCAGTCGAATATGTTTTTGGTGGGAAAAAAACTCTGTCTCTCTCACGTTTTGTTATACGGATGCGAACATATGTGCCGGAGTTTCCATACTTGGGATTCGGTTTTTCTTTTCCTTTCTTTTCTCTTCTTGTATCTATTTTACGTTCACTCGATTTTTCGATATATTGTCGACTTTTGAGGACCGTTATTAGAACCGTTTTTCCCGTTCACTATGTGGCCGGCATCGAATTTCACGCGACAAAAAGTCAAAAACCAAAAACCAAAAAAAAAGTAGAAGAACCCAGATGTGAGAGTTCTGTGTTTCAAATGTGGACTGCAATGCTCAATCGTTTGTTTGACCTCTTGACACGCACATCTATGTATTAATCTTCTATGAACAAAACAAAAAATAAAATAACACACACACGCACACACTTGCACACACACCCAAACACACTCTATATTGATTTCTCTCTCGCACTCTGTAACTGTGTGTGTATGTGTGTGTGGATGGATGGATGTCTATATATTTTATTTACTTTTTTATTTTTTTGATTTATATATTTTTTAAGCCGCGCGTATTGAGCGAGATTGTGAGTGTGAATCGTGGAGTCGATTTCTATATAGTATTATTATTATTATATATATGTGCTAGGTATATATATATAAAATATATATATGTATTTGTATTCGTATATTATGTTGTTCTTTATAGCACTCAACGTATTTTTTTCTTTTTTCTGGAGCCCGTTGCTCACGTCTATAGCCCAACACGGTCCGTTTGCGACTGGGAAAAATAATGGAAACGCTGAGGATCCGTTTGTTGGCTGCGTCGCTAGCAGCGGCGTTGACGGCGACGCGAGCAGCAGCAGCGACTGCGCATGCTGCTGCTGTTGCTGTTGCTGTCTTAGCTGTTGTTGTTGAGGTTGCTGCCTGCTGTTGCTATTGTTGTTATTGTTGTTGTTGTTGCTGCCTTGAGAACTTTGAGCGCGTTTTTAAATGCAAAAGTTTTCTCTTTTGGCCACAAAGTATTGCAATTGCTGTTGCTGCTGCTGACGCCACTGTTGCTACTGTTGTTGTTGTTGTTGTTGCTGCTGCTGCTGCTGCTTCTGTTGCTGCCACTGACTGTTAAGCTATGTAATTGTTCAAGCAAACACTCAATTACATGTATTCCTGTCTCCTCAATCTCAATCTGAGTAGCTGGCGCCGTTGTCTGTTTTTGGTGCGTGATGTTTTTTCGTGTTGCCCCCTTTGAGCAGCACCAGCAGCAGCAACTGAGATGGGTGTTGCTGCCACATGTGGCATGTTTGTAAGTTGAGTTTCTTAGGAACCTAGGCAGCAGGCCATGCTATGCCAAGCATATACATACATATACACATACATATCTATGTATGGGGGCATCATTATCAACATCATGTGTTTACAAACTCTGGCTGTTGTTGTTGTAGTTGCTGGCTTCTACTCTTACGCACTGCTGATAAATTGTCCTTTACGCACACACACACAAACACATGCCAGCGGCTGCCACATGCGTTTTGAAAATCAGTTTTATTTGTGCACAGCATCTTTTATCTGAGCATCTTTTGAGTAATGTTTTCAATTATGACGTTCTCAACTGCACAGCGCCTGAATGAGCCGGCTTGTTATGATTTTGTTGTTGTTCGTGTGCCGCCTCATCGATGATAATCATGCGTGAAGATACTACACATTTGGCAGACCCATCGAATACCCTAGATGCATAAAGTATTGACTGAGTAAAAGATACAAGGGTAGCTACGCTTCGTTATGCATACACATACCCCTTAATAAAACTTGATTGATAAATAAATACCAACTCTATATTTTCTTTGATCTTTTAAATAAATTTAAATTTATTTCATGTTTAAAATTTAAAGCTAACGTAAGTAACCAATTTAATTGATAATCAATTTTAATTGATTCTCAAGTGCTAATTCTAGCAGTTAAATTTATCCACCCACATTCTACAGGGTATTTCTGCTGCCCTCAATCTCTCAAAATATCCATTGCAATAACGGTGAATAGTTAACCATTTTGAGCTAGATATCGATTGTCGATAAAGCTGCGCTTAGTATTTAATAAGTATTTAATTTGGTATTTAATTACCGCTGCCGTCTCAACCAAAAGTTTTCAACGTACTCGCAAAAATAAATCAACAATAATTGGCTACTGTGGCAACTGTGGCGCCACCTCGTTGCTGCTTGGCAGGCGCCACATTGAAACGAGTGCGCTGTCAGCTGAAGAGCAAGGGGCAGCACCAGCAGCAGCAGCATGCACCATGCATCAAAGTCCGCAGTCTTAATTTATTTTGAAGTTGTGGCTGGGCACAGCGCATACATAATTAACCAAAGCCCCCTTAAAAATGCCGTCTGTCGCGGTGAATTCCGCACGAAATTCCTGCCGGCTGCAATGCGCGTGCCAATGTGCCCCATCACACAAGCTCGTCCCGCACCGCGACGCCCCCTTCGCTTTCATACGTTGTCGCCCTTGCGCCCAACTGCTGCTGCTGCTGCTGTGCTGTGCTTCTGTTATAGCTCCTGCAGCAATTAATCATGGCTGTTGGCAATTTTCTTGTGATTCGCTGCGAAGCTTCAACTCATACTCAATCTCAATCTCTGTCGCTGTCTTTGCCATCATCTTGGATGATGAGCGCACGACATGGACGGTTATTTTTAGTGTGACCGTTACACGCCCACATTGCAAATATCTGAAGACTAACTAAATATTTATAAGTAATCGATAAATCGTATTAAAAATATACACAGATTGCGTAGCTGAGCTATTTTTAAATTTCAATCATGCCTAAATCAACAACAGCGCACAACAGCAACAATTATGAATTATTATTTATTCATATTTGTGTTGATGTCACATAAATATTTCAACATTTCTTAATGTGACAAATTTTTCGTGTTTCGCGCTTTCGCTTTCTCATGCAGTGAAATTATACATATTTCTGCTCTTCTCTCTGTTTTTTATTATTATTATTATTTATTTATTTATTTTTTTTGTTCTTATTTTTTTTTTTTTAGCCGATTTCTTTGATAGTTGCTGTAATGTGAATTCCACTCGAGAGATTGATGAAGATTCTGCAAAATTCCAGTTTGATTCGCAACGGAAACGATCATGTGCCAAAATTGATAGCCCTAAATCGAAAGAACACGTCAATTGGGGCCTGGCTGTTTAATTACGGCCAAAATATTTGGCTGGAATTTGGTATTTGGCTGTCGTCACGGCTTTGTCTGCCGCCTGGCCACTGCGTCACTCGCCACGGGGACGCCACTGGATCAATCAACTATATTGTCGATCGATCGATAATGGAGAACAGAATTGATTTTTGTGTATGTATGTAATTTTATTTAGCTTTCTTTTTATGCAGAGTTGTCCTAAAATCTTTGACCATTAATTTCGTGTAGTTTCTTGCAGTTAATTACGTGTGTGTGTGTGTGTGTGTATCTCATATCTGATTGTGTGTATGCATGTATATCTGCTTTATATAGTATATATCTACATATATATGTATCTATATATATGTGTGTGTATGTTTATCTGTATGTGTGTGTCTTGAAGTATCCACAGCCGCGCACTTCGTGTGACCAACACAGGCTTCAGAACTTATCCAATTAACTAAATATGAAACATAGTAGTTCAATATTAAAGTAAGATTTACATATATAAAGCACACTTAAGCACGTTTCATTCACGGCCACGACCACGCCCACAGCACGATTCAAGCTCGTTGCCTACTTTTGCTCGGTGAACTTGGTGATTTGCGGATATTTGCTTGGATTATAATCAATATCCTGCTTAAGGCGCTCGCGTGCACTGTTGCGCACAGCTTCCGTGTAGGACGCCTGCACCACAGCATCATGGGCAATGGCATTGATCACAACATCAGGATTAACAGTGGGATTCACGTTGCCGGCACCTCCACCATTCGTGCCAGCCAGTCCGGAGTTCTGGAGAGCACGCTGCACACCGCTCGAAATTAGGCATTCCACGTTTGATGACTTCTCGTTCTGGATGATCTTGCGACGCTTGGCAGACATGCCCGATATATAAGCATCGGAGTAGGGTGGTTGTGGTAGGTTTTGCTGCAAATGAATTTACAGCTTGTTTTAGCTATTGCTCATCATTTGATTTTACCCCCCTCCACTCACCTCTGTTTGGGTCTGCAGATCGCGAGTTATCACAGGCAGCCAGTCATGAGGGAAACTGTTATGCCAAGGCTCTGAGCCGACTGTTACCGCGGGCAACGATAGCTCCTGCTCCGTGGAGTTGCTGCTGCCACCGGCCACGTCGGCCATTTCAACGTCGGTGTCGAGCGATTGTTCTGCCGGCTGTGAATGTGAGGGGAAGGCGAGTAGCGGAGGCCACACAAAAGGATCCTATTAGTTAGTGCTTTATAGAAAAACTTGCTCAGCAATTCATTCTCAGACTTACGTCGGCATCTGGGCCCGTTGTCACTGCATTGCGCAGCACGAGGAACTGTTGAGCATCGGCGGTGTCCGTCGTTGCAGGAATTGTGGGATCTATGTAGATGCACAAGAACTGCAAGGCCTCATTGCGAAAATCTGAAAGGATGCGTCATCTCAGATGAGTGTCTACTTGAAGCATCAAGGTCCAGTCTTAACTTACTGAAACGCAGCGGCACGCTGAGCCGTCGCATCAACTGCCGCCAGTAGAGCTCCGCATTGGCGCTGCCCAGGCACAGGAAGAGCACGCTGTATAGACGCTTCCGGAACTGATCGCAGATTTGCTTTAGCTGATGCTCGAAGTGGCTGCTGCAAGTGTTGCCGTAGCACAGCTTGATGATGCGTTGCAGGCTCTGGCGCAGCGTATTGCACACGGAGTCCCGCGAATTGTACTCCGGCCGCTCGTACTGACGCAGAAACACGAGATTGTCGCCGAACCAGTCCAGAGCTCGGCCCACAGCCAACTGCATCGTGTCCGGATTTATCGAAGCGCCCTCGAAGACGCTGTGATGCAGAAAGCTGCGCAGTTGGGCGCGCAGATTGCAAGTCTCTCGGCTGACAGCTGCGTCGCCAGCTGTGGCTGCAGCTGAGCCCGAACCCGAACCCGCGCCCGAGTCGGAGCTCGGGGCTGCAACTGTGGTTGCGGCTGCTGCTGAGGCTGAGGCGGCCACTGGAGTCGCATTGGCTGCTGCGGCGCCACCATTGTTGGTTGCTGCGGTCGAAGTGGCATTAGTTAGCCCCGTTGTTGTGCCGCCCAAAGCTGTTTGCGCATGATTTCTCATATTAGTAACCAGGAAATTGTCAAGCATAGTGGATAAAAGTCTGGATACGGTTCTTTGCGCGGGCCGACCGTTCGGCTGGCGTGCAACGGGACGGCGGCTCATTGAGTAGCTCGAGCTGACAGGTGCGTGCACGCCACCGCCACCAGCAACACCACCACCGCCACCACCACCATTGCCACCAATACGATTGGCACCACCAACACTACCACCACCAATAGTCGTCAATCCCGGCGCGCTGCCGCTTCGGCTCTCGCGCATGATGGTGGGTCGTCGACGCGGCATGATACGCGAGATGCTTGAGCTGCTGAAGCTACGCGGCAAGCGAATACCGTTGACTATGAGATGAGATGACACGGATAGAATGCAGATTAGAATGTCAGAGATGCAAACCGGAAGCCTAAAACATTGTGTGTGTTTGTATGTGTGTGTGTACCTAAAGGTAGAGTCTATGGCTCCAGTCATAGGCATTAGCTCCTAAGCTCTTGCCTTCGACTTTTAGAAATTGGAGTATTCCAATTGCCTACTATAAGCATTACCAGTAGTGAATAGATCTTTGGCAAACATAAAACTACATTCAGACACTAGGCTCAGACTCGAATTCGACTTTAGTCCTGGAGAGAAGTATACTATATGAAAATTTCCAAATGTTCAGAAGACAGGCCTTAAGCTCTGGCATGTTTCTGAGTAGCTATACTATACTATATAATACTATACTACTATAATAACAAAAAAACAAGTGCGATATTTATAATGATCTGTTATACAATTCTAAGTATATGTATCTAGAAATTCTGATCTAAATATATACTAAATATAATATAATATACTGGATGTTTTCTGAAAAATCTGATGATTAATCATTGAGGTTAACTGAAATAAGGGAAATTATTTTCCTTCTATTGCTCTATTCATAACCCGGTTTACATCTCTGATGAATATGTTAGGATGAGGAAAGCAAGTCGGCCACGTGGCGATGGCGCGACGAGGCGAAGCCGTGCACTGCTCGGGACATTACAGCGATTACATATGTATACATATATGATTTGATGATTATGTATATATAGTATGTATCATTTGACATATATACATATTAATCCCATATCAAAATTTAGAGATATTCGTTAATCTTCAAATTTTCAACTCACCCAGAGCCTCAGCGGATTGATCACTTGTCGGTCTTCGGTAGTTGTTTAAGTGGTTATTGTTGTTGTTGTTGTTTCTGCTACTGATGTTGTTGTTTCTGCTTCTGATGTTGTTGTTGATTTGCTGTTGTTGTTGCTGTTGTTGCTGCTGTTGAACCATTGGCACCTCCGGCTCACGAATATGATGGCTATTGCAGGGCAAGAAACGATCGAACGCCGTATGGGTGGGCGCAATGCGTCCGGCCCAATTGTTGTTGCCGCCAATCTGAATCTGTGGTCGGGACGTCGAGCGCGTCTGCGTGGCCGTTGTGGGCAATGTATTGGCGCGCTGCTCGCCGCTGCGCGTGCCACTCGATGTGGATGCGGCAGCCGCAGCAGCAGCAGCAGCCGCAACAGCAGCAGCAACAGCATTAGCTCCAGCTGATGCTGCGGCAGCTGCTACATTTGCTTCGCCAGCTCCGGCACTGTCGGTGGCGGCTGCTGGTCGTCCCTGTGCCTGAGCTTGAGCTTGACCCTGACCCTGACCCTGTCCCTGGGCCTGGGCCTGGGCCTGGCCCTGAGCTTGCGGATGCACAGCAGCGGTCATCACATGTACCGGCAAATTTATGGACATCACATTGGGCACATTGAATTCGACACGCAGATCCGCATCGTTCGTGGCGCTATTGACCACGGCCTGAATCAAACGGGCCATTCGCATCTGAGGATCTGCAAGCGAGACAAGAAACAAGATAAATGAGCACACAACAAGCTAAACTGTAAGCTTAAACAAAAATCAATTAACGGTGACAACTTTAAATTAGTTTGCATTAACTTATGGATCTGCTGGATAGATTTTTCTAGGGTCTTTATAATGTAGAGCTTTCTAAACGTAAAGATTCGATCCGATAGATTAATTGGTTTGTAGAAAAGGTCTTAAGGCTTAAGCATTTAGGATCATAACACAACAGAGAAGGTTCGCAATATTGAAGCTGGAATGCGCTTTTGAAGTATTTAATTTAAAGCTTCCTCTCAATAAAAGCTTTGGTCGGGCTTGAAGCCAGTTGAAGTTGTTTTCAGTCAGTCAAATATTATTATGTTAAAGAGAAAAGCTATCAGAGCTTTTCAGAGCTTGGATGAATCCAGCAAATTAATGTGGAGCAACAGAAATACGACGCATCAACACTTGAAGCGTTAAAGCTTTAAATACTATATTATTTTGTTAAGTAAGGAAACAGCTAACATATTATGAAATATGCTTCAATTCAGTAGCAAAACTGTTTAATAAAAGCCGAACAAAAGCTGGGCTGAGCTGAATGGGAGAAGGAAAACCTACTGGGCGTTGGCATTGGGACAGGCATATAGAGACGAAACCTTGGCCTGGGTGCTTCATTAGGCTCAGCCGCACGCTCGGCATGCTCATCTAGAAAATCGACAAGGAATTAATCGTAGGGCTTGATTTTCCTTTGTTTTGACTGTTTGAGGATGGGCATATACCCTGGACACTCACCTGCATCTGCACGAGATTGTGTGCCGGCTGCATTGGTGCCAGCTGGCGCCACCATGGGCTCATCCACAGGATCCTCAAAGTTGTCATTTCGATTGGCTAGGCCAGCGAAGGCAGCGGCTGCAGCATCTGCATCAGCAATCCCTGCCGCTATTAACTCATCTTCCCTTCGGTTACGTTCCTCGGGATCTGTATAATCCTCCTCCTCAATATCTTGCATGCTAAACCCATCCTGTGGGTTCTGTGGACGCTGCTCCCCATCGTTTGTAGCATTAGAAACAGCCTGAATAAGACGTGACATTCGAGGATCTGTTGACGGAACGAAATTTCGGATTAGAGTATGAAATTGTAAATTCTAAGGAATATGTACAAAAATCTGTTTTTTCAACAAAAGTTTTGGTAGATATTTTATTTATCTCCCAGCTTGATGGATTCTTAGAAAAGAAACTATTCTAATACTTCAAGCAAATCAACCATAAGACAATAAGCTTTTAGGATCAGCCGGAAGCTTTTATGGAGCAACTTTTATGACATTTGTATAAGCTGAACTTTTGGTTTAACCTTAAGAGGAGATCTAGCAAAGCTTTTAGCTAGATGAACTTTTATAAAAGAATGCTTAAAGAACATATGTAGAATAATTAGTTCTTAAGCTTCAGCTTCAAGCTTTTGGATTAATCTTGCGGTAGTAAAGGAAGGGAACAAGTTGGAACTCTAAAGACAAATCTTTAACTTTGAGTCCGGGATTAGTATATAATAGATCAAAATATAAAGCAAAGCTTGCAAACTTTAAGCCAGCTTTCGATAGCGGATTCTGCTTCTTTGGTAACAAAGATTTATATTCGATGAAAACCTACTGTGCATAGGCAATGGCACAGGCATATAGAGACTTAGCCTTGGCCTAGGCGCTGCTTCGACATCAACGGAGTTTTCCACTTGATCATCTAAAGAAATGGACAAGAAATTGATATCGCCTGCTATCTATTGTTTGGATATTTCGTCTGATCTATATATATATATCTCCTTATTGAATATACACTCACCTACTCCATCTTGATCAGTCCCGGGTCGTTGTGGTTGCGCTGAAGCTGTGCCTGTGCCTGAACCTGAGCCTGAGCCTGTTCCAGCCACAGTCTGTTGTTGAGGATTAGATGCAGCAGAGGCAGAGGCTGGTTGCGCGGCTTGTGGTACTGCAGACGCTGGCGGCACCTGGGCAATGAGGTCTGCAAGCGGAGCGCTCACCAGATTGGGCGTAAAGATATTATTGGACCGTATGTAGCCGCTCTGCTCCACGAGAATGGGCCGGCAGGTGAGCACACGCGGACCTGGCTGGGACAGATCCAGCATCAAGTCCGAGATGGCGTGCTGGGCGTGCGACAGATAGTGCAGGGCCTCGGAGACACGATCGTAGATGCGCTGCGCATTCTCTCGTCCCGCTGTGTCCTGTTCCTCGAAGCTGGGATCTTGCTGCAGGATTTCGTAGTAGCGATCGAGGAAGGGCGCCAAACGTTGCTCGACGGTGCGATAGCGCTGAAAGACTCGAGCCAGCACCTCGGGACGTGTTCGACGGCGCGGACCATTGCCAGTGCCGTTCGGTTGCGTTCCTCCAGCAGCTGCTGTTCCGGCTGCTGCGCCTCGATCCGCTGCCTCTGCCTGCGGCGAGTTGGAGCGCTCGTCTTCACCGGGTGGAGTGTTAGTCCCATCGGCTGCCTCATCATCTGTCTCAATTACATCCTCAATGATCACAGCGGCTGCTGCTGTAGTCTCCTCGCTCGTGTCAACGCTGGCGGCGCCATCGCTGCTGCTGCTTCCAGCACGATCCGATGGCTGTTGTTGCTGCTGCTGCGATTGTTGTTGCTGTTGCTGCGGCTGCGGCTGCGGCTGCTGGTCGCCCTCCTCGTTGGTGTAGACAGTGGGCAGCTGCACCACTGTATAGTTGCGACCAGGTGTGTTGCGTGACAATGCAGCGGTGACTGCGTCCTGTACCATGTCAATGATGTTATTGTTGCGTGGCATATCGGTGGAGGACACGCCCACCTCGACCACCGTTGATTCCATAGTCCAATGCCCGCGCTGTAGTATATCTAATGATTGATTATTCAGCCCGATCTCGGGGTTCTCCAGATACGCAGCTATATTATTGGCACAGTCGATCATGTGCTGGGCAACAGTGATGCGATTAATGCAGAAAGACGACGAGTTGGGAAAGCGATTCGGAGGTGTGCGAGCCTGCAAAGGAATACGATAATTAGCAACAGGAATTTAAGGTAGCCTCGACAGCATTTATTCTTACGCCCGCAGCATTCAGTGGTCCATTGTTCACGGGTATGGCCATAGTGCCCACCAGCATGCCGTCGAGTGCCCTGAAATATGGCGCATTGCGCAGATTCCGTGGTGCTGGTCTGCCGGGGAGGCGGTTCAAGCCACGCATCGGTTCATCGTTGTTCGTTGCATTGGCGCCGCGCTGCGAGAAGGGCGGGCGCTCGGCCACATGCAGAACTTTGCCATCGACATCTAGAAAACGGAGATCAGTCATATGTCAATAGGTTGATTGCAACTACTAATGCAAACTAGCCATGACTCACCGTATTCCTTCACCTGTTTGTCATCAGACAACACGCGGCCCTGGTAAATAATTCGCTGATTCTCGGCTGCAATGTTGGTCTTCTCTGCGATTTGGTCCTTGAACTGGCGTATGGTTAACTACGAATAAAAAGAAAAATGTAATTCAAAGAAAAGCGTTCACACCACACAACCTCAAAAATGCACACACACAAGCATGGACTTCCACACTAACTCATACACACACATGCACGCGCACCCGTTCATACACGTACTTACCTCATTGTCGATGCTGAAGTCGTGTGTGCGAGCATCTAAAGTTTTCACCTTTAGGTTTATTAACATCTTGTTAACCGTGCCCGTGCTTATCAAATGCTTCTGAATTAGATTCCTTTACTGTAGAAATACAACTTACAACAGCCAACGGCAAAGAAAATCGGTGGCCGATGTACTACGGCAATCGTTGTGTCTTGTTTCTGCCAATCGAATCGCTTTCGCATTCGAAATTCGCCTTTGCTCTCTCTCACTCTTTCGCACTCTCTTCGATCCGGTGTAGCCAAGTGTGGAAAAATTTTTATATTATTTTTTGTGTTTTATTAAATGTTATATTTTTCTTTCGCCTGCGTTTGCGTATCGCTAATGTCGCTTTTGTGTCGCATCAACACCGTATGCCAGTCGATTAAAGAGCAACTAAATCGAAATATATTGCTGCCAAATTTTGATAATCACACAAAAATAGCGAGCGGCTACGACCCAGAATTCCTTACTCTTATATGCTTTTTAACAAAATATACTGTATACAAACGTCAGATAATTTATTTTTGTGGTATTTTGATACTTTAGCCAATATGGTCACATGGTGTAAAACTCATGCTAACAATCTATCAATCGATTGTTGCAATTTTTAGTATTTTCAGCAGTCTGGCTAGGCTGCGCAATAGAAAAAATGTTTATTTTAGCTATCTGGTTAGCCTGGTCTTACGCTGCAGCCCTGGCCTGCTGCTATGTGGCGCAAATTTTAAAAATTTAAATTTATCTTTTGGTTTTTTTTTACTGCACTCGCATTGTATGGGAGAAAACAGAAAAAACAGCAACTGACGTGCTTGCCGCATGTATTATGCCACAGTTAACCCGCTCCAAGGCCTTTGCGACGTCTGCTTTGAACTGCATCCTGTGGGAATTTGCTCAAAAAACTGAATAATAGCAGCAAAAAAGCGAGCCAAAGCCGAGGTGTAGAACAACTTTTCGCTTTGAATATTTAAGTGGCAGAGCCAGCAGCGGCAGGTATGCTAAGAGAGTGGGCAGGGCATGGGAGAAGGCGTGCCAGCAGAAAGGCAACGGCAGCGGCTGCGGCAGCTAACACAATTTTTCTTAGACCCCGGAAAATGTGAAAATGCGGAAATGTGATTTAATGTCGGCTCAAAATGATTGCCGAATATTTCGCTTGTTGTTCGAGTTTGAGGGTTAAAGCTTAAATGCTTTAATAAATAGATAAGGAAGCGAAAGAGAGAGAGAGAACTATTTATGCGAGGGTGGTTTGAAAAATTGAGAGTTGTATGGGTTTGGCAGATTATTAAGGGTATTTTTAGAAATGAAAGAAAATATTTATTTTTAGGAAACATAATTAGATCCAATTTAATTAGCCTAAGATCTTATATATAAAAAATATATAATGCATTTTATTTTGGTGACAGATTTAAACAATAAAAATAATATATATATTATTTATGCATACATATATAATAAT